TAATGATAACCATCAAAACGCCTGCCATTTGATATAAATAAATGTATGTAAGCTAATATGATTTCATTCTATCTGATGGAAGGTAAATTACAAGGGCAGTAGAGTTTTTTCGATTTCCAATTTAATTGCCCAGATTACTCAGGACCTTGTGCATTTTAGCGCGCTACTAATGAACGTATCAAATACAGAATTCATGCTAATTGAAACCCGACAGTAGGCTTATGAGCTCATGATGGATGAATAACTTCAAAACTGGTAAGTTTGCAAGGGCTTTGGCATAGACAGATAAATTATTTGTATAAGCGAACTTTCAAATTGGATAAAAATTGCATTCCTCAATTCATATTTGAATCTTCAAAGAAGAGTGATTCCTACTGATGTCGTGGATTTCAAATGTATTTTTGAAACAAATTTGGGACAATGATGGTGCAAATTACAATAAATATCGAATTTCAGGTTATCGCAGGGAGAATTGAACTTGGAGGCCCGTTTACAGTGACGGTGACTAAATTTAAGCTCAATGATAATGAATTTATCGTCTTTTAGTTGTCCAATTAATGACAACCCATATGCAAAATCGAAGTTATCATTTGGTTTAATGGTAGAGATTCGTATCACTGAAGTCTGCATTTGCCTCGGTAGTTGGCTTTCAACGAAATCAGCAAAATTTATACTCCACTTTAGTGAGTTCTTTTTCTTTCATTGCCCATTGAGAAATGTTCTAATTGTTTCTGTTTTGCTTTTCGAGGAATTCCAGGTTATGAGCGTTTTGTTTCTAAATTGTGTCAGCCAAATTTCTATCCAACCCTACTCAATTCATTGTCTTGTTAATTTTCACTTGATTGCTGAACCTGCAACTTTATATACTTGTCACTTTTCGTGCAAACAAAGATCTGATTGTGTTCTCGTATGTGTGTGCAGCACTCTTTTCCAACTTGTTCACTTTGTCGAATTCCCTGTTTTTTTTTATTTTATGTGCAAAATTTGTCGTTCGAAATCAAGGTCTTTTGTATTTAAAAGGTTCAATTTGTTTATCTGCTTTTAACCCTTGGGCAACATGGCTTCATCTATCACCATTGACTCCAAATGTCCTTTTCTGATTAATTATTTCACCTTCTCCACCTATTTTCCTAGCATCAATTTTCATGCGTTGATAAGACACACTCATATGGCCCACTCAGTGACCTCGCTTAAAGGGTCAAATCCTTCTTTAGATTTTTCTCGATTAAAATTTCCTATCTTCATTTCATTTCATATTCACTATGATGATTTATCCGATCTTACCATTTGAGTCGATACTTGAAACTTGAACCACTCAGGAACCTCTATAAGGAACTTTAACAGCACTAAATACATAAGTCTCGATGATGTACCCTAAATGTGCCAGTTTGACTTTAATGATCCAGTGTTGCGGCCGTTTGGTAAAACTAGTTTATTACCAAACATCAAGTCATAGCATCGCCCAATATTACTCTCTCTGTCCTCTTGTCCTTCCGGTTCTGTTTGATAAAACTATTCAAATGAAAATTTCTCCTAACTGTCTTACTGTGTCATAGAGATTACAAGAAGCTAATAGGGAGATATCTACATGGATTACTTAATAACAGGCATTTTTTCGACAATGATTAAACTAGATTTCAAAAAATTTTCTCAGATTCAGATTTCTTAAATAAAAAATTTGAAACATTAGGTTTTTCTATTCATTATAAAATGATTAAAGGAAAGGTTGTCAGAAGAACAAACGTGTTGCGTGCTTGGGTGTGTGCGAGTCAAAGGAGGGTTAACAAAATACAAATCGGAAAGGTGTTGCTTGTGTGCTCGAGTGCGTAATCAAGTATCTCCACACATGGTCAATTTGGCAACCACATATAGAAGGTTCTAAATGGTGATTTCAGTCACCATGTACACTATCTTTTATTGTAACAACAAGAATTTAGGTGATAGGAAAAACAAGCTTAGCGCACTAGACAAACCAATCAGAGCCACTGTTGTGACGCAACTATTTGTTTTCCTTAGGTTTGCATATGCTTTATTGTATATGCTCGAGGTTTCAGAAAAGCAGCTTGTATGGTAACAGGAAACATTTCTGCTCTTTGATAAATGAAAAATAAAAAGTATATTATATATTACCCAGTTAGTGCCCCTTAAAAAATACAAATTATAATTTGACCGATATTAAGTCAATATAAAATTAACATTACATGGTAAATTTTTCCAGAGCAAAGCAAACTGAGACCTCTGTTTGATCTCCAAGAGGATCATGGCGTGAAATATTAATAACATATAGAATTGATTGCAACATTAAATATTTGACTTGTAATATGACAAATAATAGTATACTGAACTGTTCTTAGAAAATCAATTCTCCGTTGCTTAATTTTAAATTCGTAGGATCTTTGTAAAAGGTACATTATTTTCTTTCGCGCTGTTGTGAACTAAAGTAGCGATGCTCGTACGACCGACGAGAACGTATGCTCTTATTATTATCCTATTAAAGGGGTGTATAAAATTTAGTAAATCGTACTAAAAATGAAGTTTTAAAATACAGAATTGCTAATCTAACAAAAGTGGATTTGTCTTATTATATGGAAGAAATCATAACCAAAGATATTGAGTTTACCAAATGTACAATAAATGCCTTTTAATATTTTTAAGTGAAATATCCATTAAATTTTTAATGATATATTTATAATGGAATTCAATATTTTGTCTTTGTTTGTATGGTTCGAATTCAGGTTAGGAAATTCAAAGAGCTTTCTTTGAGACTTCTCGTCCTGTCTTTGCTGTTGCGATGGGGGTTTTACGCGATTGGACTGCTTCTGTTATTGGCAGCGTCATAACAGTTTTAGACGAATCTTGCTTACTTAGAATTATAAGTGAATGGTTAGCAGAATCTTGCTAATTTTTTTTACTTATTTAGTGAATTTCTTTCGACTGAGGGACAATCCTCTAAGGATGTATTGAAAGCATTTATAGAACAGTATATCGGTTCTAATGTATATGAAATGATTAATTTGGATGGTTTATTTGAAGATTCTATGGAGTGTGAGATCGTAAAGCATTATTGTTTTCTATTGGCAAATTAACTTAGGCGGTGTATCTCGTAATGCTTGGGTCTATGCAGACCAAGAGTGCTAAAAAGTTTATCGACGCTGCGCTTTCTCTTAGCGATGCAACGCAAGCGGAAATATTTAATATGATTCAGAACCCAATGACAAAAATTCAAAACAATGAAAAGGTTACTCGCGAGGATATATTGGACGCCCTCAAGTTGGTTGGTCCTCCTGTATGTATAGAATTGTTGTGTTTGCACATTTTAATGTCTCATAAGAATCATTTCTTCTCTTTTGAAGAATCTAACCCCTAATAAGACCGAAAGCGACCATTATTTTAATGAGGCTTCAGATGGTGCCACAACATTTACTACTAGTACACCAATTAATGTCAAGAAAAATTCATCGAATTTTAATGGGATTAATAACTGCTATTCTGAGAAGGTTAGCTTGCCTTGTGTTTCTCTAACTTTCTTAACGTATAACTTAATTTCTGGCTTTTTCAGGCTCCCATCCGTCCAACTTCCCTGCAAATTGCCAATGATAATGCTTTGATGCCACCGCCTTCATTAACTCCAACGAAATCCCATCAAAAGGCGGTAACCTCAGAGAGCGAAAAGATTTCTATTCCTCCTGCTTCTCCTCTCACTCCTCTCAGAACCCTGGTTGAATCCCCACATTGGAATATCAAGGTTAGTCTAGTTTGTATTTTTGCTTGAAAAAAATAGACCAGCCGTCAATAGCCGACCGAAATCGCACCTGATGGGTTCTGGCTAAGTATACTATTACAGATTTATATTTTGGTCTGGTTTGTTCTGTTGTGATGAAAACCCTTCACAAAGATTTTTTAATTTCGATTTGTCTTTTCTAAAGTTTAAGAAAACTTAGAGTGAGCCAGTTTAACTCTTTGTGATGAAAAAATTTGCCTACGCTCATGTAGTTCATAATTAAGCCATTTCACTAATCTCTTGAATGCTGGCACTAACTGGTGTTATTCTTCGACCATTCTTACTGTCCTAGAGTGTTATGCACATCTGTTCGATGTGTCAAAAAGATGCCAGGAAAACCAGGGTGCTGATCAATTACGTTTCACTATTTAGTATACTGTATAACTTCCATATTTCAACTATTCGTATTAAAATATTTAACGATTTCTTCAACTTTATTTTCAATCTTCAACAGTCAAACGAGGCAATTGGATCTACATGTAAGGTAAATCGCTCGTAATCGGTGATGGATTCTCACATTTTCCCATTCACATTCGATTATTTCACTTTATATTGGCACTAATCATGCTTTCATTTGATTGCCTTCTATTTCTTCCATGCATGCGCTTTTTAATTTTTATCAGAAATCTCCATTTAGACTTAGCTATAATTTCATTTGCATGCTTCAGTTAAATCTTTTGGTGTTGATTTTAATCGTGTGGACGCAGACTGAGCGACTATATTCGTGTTATTTCAATATGGTCGGCAAACACGCCGCCTCTGGCATACTTAGTGATCTAAATTTAAGTTCCCCATTTTTCCCATTATGCTGTCTGTTGTTGCACATATTTTGCAATTCGGCAGTATTCTTGTTTTATTTCTCACAAAATGTGCCTGTGTTAAATCCCCCTTGATTCACTTTCCGCTAGCTAAATTTTACCTACTTTCAACTTTGGATAACCTTATGTTAGGTCGGCTTGCATTATATCGTCTTGGATTTCTATAGAGTGAATTGGATTTTCTCTTAGCGATTAATGATTGACTCATTCAATCTGTAAACATGTTTATAATTTTTCTCTTTTCCACTTCCATTTTTGTCTTTTTGGGCCGCTCATAATGGCCTTGGCAACCGATCAGATTTATGAAAAATATTTGGTTTTGTAAACTTAAGCTTTGACATCAAAGTAGACGCGTATTCGAAATTTCCCTCTCACATAATTCTCAGTTTTGCTATAACCAGTTGTATAAGCTTGTTTGATCAAATTAATATCAACACCTGCATATTGGGAGCTCAGTGTAGCGATTGACAGTAATCTCTTATTGTGGCAATTAGACGGATAAGGTGAATGGCAACATTCTCCCCCCCCCTTTTATAATCTTTTTTTCCTCTCGACTCTTTTGTCTATTTTCTTCACATCTTAGACTATATTTCCTTGCATTATTAACGCGGTGTAGATATATTAAGATCAGTCGAAATTGGTCTGATTTCACACAATGTTAAACTACATTGTGGTCTGTGCATCTGTTAGTGGATGCCCAACTTTTGGTTTTCGAATTATTTATTACAGTGATTAAGATGTGAATATCAACGTCTTACCACGCGCGTTTTGTTAATCGTTTCAATTTCATGAAGTGCTTTCCTAAACACGTCTTTCGAAGGAGGAACTTTTATTTTAGCATCTTTCCAATTTAGTGTATGTCCTCCCCCATTCCTCCGCATTTAGTAGGTATTCTTAAACATGTGAGGCGTTATCCATTCAATCAAACGCATTGCATTCCCCTGCAGTCACAATCCGCCTTAGTTCTAGCTTTTAGCTTGTTTATCGAATGAAAACATCAGCTTTTCCTCTTCACAAACACTAGATGCGATTACATGAGGCGGAGCAACGAGTACGTGCAGCAGAATTGCGGGCCGCTCGTGCGGAGGCAGAGCGAGAAGACGCGGAGGCCCTCTCCGTGGAGCTGCGTGAACAACTTGCACAGACTGAGAGACGGGCTCACGTCGCCGAGGTGGAGGTCTCTCGCCTGAGACGAGATGCTCTCCAATGGCAGGACAACAAGGACGAGCTTGTCGAGGCAAGGGCCGAACTCGTCCTCCAAGCTGAGAGGATTAAGACGTGAGATTTTTCCCCTGGTTATTTATATTACCAATGTCTCAAATTTTAACATCTAACATGCTATTGTTGACTAAGTGATAGGTGGGAAACTGGGAGATCCAGTTTCCTTACCATCTAGTAATAATTCACTGTTAGTTTAGAATTTAATAATTCTCAAGCTACCATTTACATTTGTCTTTCTTAGAATTATCAATTCTCAGATTCTTTTTAGAATTGTTCCCATTAAATGATGTTTAAAAATTTTAATAGTCGTATGATTTACTGCTGAAATAATCCACATTGGTGCAAAGAACTAGCAGAATTTCGTGAATAATAACGCGCCTGAACAATATACCTTTTGGATACTGGACACTTTTTTCGTAATGTAACCCGATCGTTAATGTTAGCTTAATATGCGTTTATCGGTTAACTGGATTAACGACAATTCACTGCTTTTGCATTTGTTTTTTCCTATTGTCAGGTTGGAAGAACGATTGGTGGAATCGCAAGCGCGTTTAAATGAGGCGAATAGCAACAGGAAAGACATTGAATACCAATTGACTGATAGAGATGCCAAGGTGAGTTATTGTCTATACTCTATCATGCGAAAAATTATGATTTAGCACAATTTTTCTGATTGCCTTCAGTATAACCTATTAGTCCTTGTAATTAAATCCATGCTGCTGTCCGAGTATAACTGGAGTGACTAAGATTCTTCTCAGTCCATTCAGTGTACGCCGATAAGAAAGATTCCAGATGGGTATTTTCCGTAGATACATTAGTTTGATTCCGTATAAGATAATTATTTTGTGTAGTATAAAAAGCAGTGGGTTTTTTAATACAACCTTGATGGACAACCGCACTAATACCTTTCTAGCTCATTCTAATCTCATTGTGTATTAGCATATTACAGATTCGCCTTATTATCTAGTTATCTACTATTGTACTTTGCTTAATTCTACATTTAACGTTTGGGAATAACTTCATCAGGAATTGTTCGCGGCTCCCTTTAATAATTTTCGGACTATGTGCCATCTTTATTAGAACTTACTCGTCTTTACTTAATTTAATCGTCATTCCCCCTGTGAAAATGCTATATCTCCTTCAGATTTTGGCTCTTCAACAGAAGGTGAATGAGTATAAGGGACGTGAAGCATACCATGTAGAAGTGGAAACAATGCGAAGCCGTTTGAAAGAGGCAGAAGCCCGATTAGCGGAGGAATTACGTTTTCGTGAGGCTTTAGAACAGGATGTTCTTAGCCAGCAGTCCGTCGTTCAACAAATGAAGATTGACCAGCGCATTGCTGAGAAGCGATCCTCACAACAAAATGGTTACCAACAGAATGACAATGGTGGTATGTACACTATCTCTTTTTACGCTGAGGTGGCATTTGTGTTCTAAATCTCCTGCGTAGATCCCAAGGGAAAATTCCTATCACTCTGAGAATATTGGAACGCCTGTTATGCCTAGATTTTACATGGATTAGGTACTGCTAGGTTTGCTAATTAATCGACCAACTTGAGATCACGACCAATTGTATTGGCATGCCCTCATATTTTATGCCAACATAAGGTTTACACGGGCACGGGCACGGAAAGATGTCAGTTGGTCCCATCTTTACTTCTTAGCTTGACTTTTATAAAACACCAAGTGTTATTTGGTCTTAAATTATTCATTTGAACACTTATAGTGCAATTTCTGTCATCTTTCGTGATTCTTTCTCGGTGCTCTTGTAATTTTTTCGTTACTTTAACTGAAAAAGAATGTTTTAATTAAAATACTCATTCAAGCGGTTTTCGACTTCGTCAGTTTTTTTAGAATTCTTCCCTTTGAAGTATGTTCCATGAATGTAAAAGATGTTAATGGGTTGTGCAAGGTCTGTCTAGCATAGTGGGTGGCGTAGAACATCCTAATTTTAGTTCCTGATTTGTTTCGTAGGTCATTCTTGCTTTTCTGGATCAGACATTGGATTGTTATAGAATTGTCCCTTTTTGTTAAATAGATTTGAACGTTTATCTTTTACTTTCTTATTGCATCGTCCAAATGATTACCATTGAACTTTGAATACAATTGTTTCGCCCGGTTCGTAATTGATTATTCCATGCACATTCCCCTATGGGCATAAAAGGAACTTACGAGGTGCCAACCTTGGCTTGGCTTAGTTGATGGAATGGGCGTTTGATTTGGAGACGACCATTATTTTTTCCCGTTGTTGTTGTCTTAGACGATTTGCTTCTTTTACCAAGCAGCAATTTGGTGTGAAAAGGACGAATTCTTTGTGATGATAATATGGAGATACATTTACTTCGTTGCTCATCTTTCTATAGCTGGGAGAACTGTTTCGGTGGCATCCGAATTCCCCTCCTATTAAATTTACCGATGTGCTTCAAATCCATTTGTGTAGGTGATCATTAGCATGCGAGTATCCGAGATAATTTTTCCATTGTTAACCGATGATCACACATAACCGGGGATTTTATTGTCGTTCTGATTTTGGCAAATCATTCAAATTCCTGTTGTCGATTGAAATCCTTTAAAACACAATTGGCATCGGCGGATTGTATACATTTAGCCATACATTTCAGTAATATCTTTAATAGCCTTACAGGCATTCAAAAGCAACTAAGGCAAAAGGTGCTTGTAACGTGTCTGTCTGATGTGCTCTCTTTTTGCTTAGGGTTTGCACCTTGGTAATAAAATTAAATGCATTTCTCACAGATAATCTTGAACAACTTATCTGTTGAGGAAACATTGGTGTGCAGAATATGCCGTCTCTTATTGCTGCTCTTTGTATTATTTCTATTTGAATTAGTGTTCATGTCCTTCTGAGGGTACTTCATAATAGGAAAATTTTTTTTCATCCTGTTGGTTGTTAATGTTGTAGCAAGTCGAAGGGAATAGACTATGCAACTTAGTCTCTATTGGCATGGATGCTGTGATTTTAGCTATATGCCTTTCATTGTGTTTCTGTTAACTTAAAACAGCGCTCATCCTCCCGTGAACTTATCTGAAAAGTACTTCTAATGCTTGATATCATGTCTTCCCTCTCCCACAGTCACTGGCTTTGGCCTTAATTTACATTTTCATAAGCTGTCTTGAACAGTAACTCAGTCGTTTACTTAATTAGTCCTTGCGCTTGAATACGTTTAGACATTCTCTCAAGCCTCATCTACTTTCACGCGCACTGTGTGGCTGATTCATCTGGTTATATAGTCACGCAAATCAGACTTGCCAGTTCTGTCATATGCGCGTACGAGCTGAGTCATTGTTGCGCTCCCCTTTTTTTGTGATTCCTTTATCGTCATTCAAAACTACTCTCATTCTTTGCCAAGTTAATAGCCTATTACCTTTTCGCAGGTCGAGTTTACATAAAACATGCCCACTCCCAGCTTCGATTCAATTCCTCTTAAATTTTCCTGCCTTTGAATAAATTGAACGATCGATTTCGAATATCGTCACAATTCCCGTATATGCTTTCAGTGTTGGTTGATTTAGCCCACGCGTTTGTGCTGTTTCCTTAATCGGACTAAGAGTAATTTCAATTTAAGACATTAATGTGTGCAAAATGGTTCGTTTTTCTTATCATCGCACAAAATGCTAGCATAAATGTTGACCTCATTTTTTAAGCCGCGACCTGATTTAATTCAAAACTTTTGGAGTTAATGCTGCTGCTGCCTGACCTTAGCTTTCCCCGGAATAGTACGTTTTCTTACCGTGATAGTTAACGTGTGCATCTGAAACGTCAGAGGTCACGGCTCCTACGCTCGGTTCGGTAATGGAGGGGGAGCGAAGCGAAATCCGAGTGTCTCATCATTGAGCCTTGGCAATGCGAATGATCTACCTAAAAAACATTTTTCCTTAATCTCAGTGGAGAAATATTTGAACTTGTCAAACAGTTAGTGATACAACTAATCTAAGAAAATAGGACTCTAGTGAGATATTCTGGGTACTCAAGTGTCACTCGCCTAATACTACTTTTCCCGCCGATTCCAAATTCTTAATGGCACTCTTTCTGCTATCCTCTCATTTCAAGCTCTCGTCCAGTATGCACGAAGTCCTATTCACTTATCAATATTCTTAGCTGCATTTTTACCTGGTCACTAGTCCCAAAGCTTAATTGGGTTGAGCTCGTACTGTAGGTATTCACGAAATAATGCATACCTTTTGGAAACGTCTTAACGAAGAGTCCTTTGGAGTTTGGCAACTCTCTCTCTCTCTCAAGACTGAGATCTTGGAAATTCAATTCCGTTCCCATTTACTGAATCACTACCTTATGCATTATTAAAATGCAGAGTAGCTTTTACAGTCTTACTCTTAGGGCATTTTTATGCAAGCAATAAAAATGATGATCTTTTTTTACTTTAGAAGCAATAACATCGCTCTTGGTTAGTGAGTAATTGACGCAGTGCTTACAAGATCACAGCGTATTAATTAAAGGCTGAACATTATTAATGATAACCCAGTACTGTCTGCCGTCTACTTTGTTTATTCCTGCCTTTTTTGTTGCTTTAAAAATCATTACAATTTACTAATCCCTCTATGGGTTCATGCTTTAGCAGACTGTTTCAATCTAAAAATTGAGGCGCTTACTCCGTTTTGCTACCTTTACAAAGTTTAAAAGTGTAGTAGTTTGACTAAGCAATAAAACGTGTGAGTTTTTGATTTTGCTTTATGATTTCTCTTAAAATCCTCGGCTAGTAACCTCCTTTTGACATTTGGCACCGATCAGGCGAAAAGATTGAATGTGGAGGGCGGGGGGGCGGGGGGGGGGGGTCAGCTGGTGTCAAAGTTAATTTATTATTCCCACCCCTCCTTTTCTTGACGCTGCTTTTTGAAATTCTATTTTCTGTCTGATTAAAGTGGCTGTGCGCGAGTAAGAAAAAATTTGGCTCCCAGCTTGGATCTCTTTCGCGAGGGTAAATTCACCTATATAAACAAATGACTTAATATCAGTCGACTTCCTGTTACACTGCATTTTTCGTGTCAGTTTGTACAGCGGCAAAAGTGTGCACATGTTGTAGTCTCTCAAATAGCTTCAAGTCCCATATTTGAATAATAATAATAATAATAAAATGGAAATAAGGAAATCTTTATTTCCTCTATATTACGTTCATCAACCACCCACATCTAGTGCGTTTTGACGATTAATAATAAAGTTGATAAACAGGTTGTTCCGTTTTATCTAACAGCCTTAAAACTTAAACATCTTTTTCTATTGAAAGAAGTTCTTTTCCCAATTCAATATGCGCTAAGTAAATTTGCCACTTACATCTAAGTAAATAATTAATGTTGCTGAAATTATTACTGCCACTACATTTAGCCAATGGGCTGAAAAACTTGATTAATGGAAAGCCCCAGTGGAAACCAAACGTGGAAAGGGTCAAGACGATCAAGTACTAAAGTCAAGAAATCAAGCGTCTTCTGTTTCAGATTTCACTAACTAATGTTGCTTCTCTATTTGTTTTTTTTTCTTTATTTCCTTTCTCCGTGTGTTTGAAGCGTGATTCTGCTCTCGCTCTGTGTGATCACTCTTTGAACACTGTAGCGCACTGCATGAAAAGCTCGAGAGTAAATTTACCTTCTTCGGTTTGATTTTGGCACCGATCAAATACCGTGGTTAAATTTGAGTAATAGGACGGTGGTGCTTTTATAACTAATTCAACTTTTACCCCACTCACCGCTATGCAGTAATTTACGTAAAGTTAAATTGCATCTCATTTTTTTGAAAAATGACGCCTGAATCCCTCTAAAACGTCTCTTCTCTTGATATTTACCATTTAAGTTTATTAGGCAATCCATTGAGTAGGAGTCACTCTTAATTAAGGAAAAGTCGATGAGAAGCATCTAAACTCTTTAGACATTTTTGAGTGCAATAGAAGGGAGAATAGAACCCAAGGGCTGAAGTTTGAACTATGGAGTAAAATAAAAGAAATGCCACTGGTTAATATTTGTTTGTAATTGCGAATTCGCTTTCCCCTTTAATATTTGTGTTCATCAATCCATCTGATCATTATGCTTATTAATATAATTTAGATTGGTGCAAAATATGAGGCAACTCGGGAAAACCTGGCATCATTGACCATTGGGAATAAACAGATTTAACACCCTAATGCAATATCATTGTCATTATGCGTAGTGCTATCGATAAATTTAGTTTGAAAGCAACCTGAAATTGCTATTTTCGTTGGTGGTTAGAATAACACTAAGTCATATAGAAACGATGTATCAGTTTCATTTTTATTTTCATTTATTGAAAAAATAAAGAATTTTTTTCTTTTTCCTGCTAGTGGTGTAAAAGCTGGAAAGTAATCAGAAAAAACTTGAGTCTCTCTTTACATTGGAATAAAAATCTAAATCACTTGCAGCACTGATTTACCATTTTGCATTGTCATTTAGATAACTTTGTTAGGTATGAGTAGTTCATATTTAAAAATCGTTAATTGCAATTTCGGTGTGTTATTCAATAGCTCATTGTTTTGCCTCATTAGTCCATTAGCAGGTAAAGATTTAAATACCATTTTTTATATTAAAATGCTTAACGTCTTGCAAAATTCCCAAACTATCCTGCTTCTTATTAGGTGAAAGAGCGTTTAGACACGAGAGAATGAAGATGTTGAGAAATCGAATGAACCCTACTTAACTTACATCTTACTAAAGTTGTATTAAATGCAATTTCCCCTCTTCTGCCTAGAACAAATAAGATTTCTGAACCAAATTCACAGAAACCTGTTGAAATCGTTAGTTCCACTTGATTTAACAATAATCGCTCCATTAGTTTGTCAGATTTAAAAATAGTTGTTAATACATATACGTATGTGATTCACAGCCCCTCACTATGTCTTTTTTTCAGAATGATACAGATACGCTAGTTTCATAAGCTTCTAAGTATCCATCTTAGATACATTTGCATTTATGGCTCATCGAGTTGTACAACTAAACACGCATCCATGTCAGTGAATGTCTCAGTCCATAACTCTATCATCGGCTATTTGAATTTTGTGTGAATTTTGCCAATCGTTTGATAATTTATTTCAAATAGCAAGCGTTTTGATAGTTATTATTAGCCCTTTAGTTGACTTCGGTAATATTATTACTTATTTATTGATAGTTATTATTAGCCCTTTAGTTGACTTCAGGCTTCACAGAGGGAAGTAACATCAAAGTAACAGAAATTTGAGGGGTGAGGAACAGAAGGGGGATTCACGGACGTAAAAGAGACAGACGGACACAAGGGCAGAGAAAAGGTAAGATAAGTACTATGGAAGTGGTCGGATATGACATACAGTGGGGTCATGGTATATTGAAGTGAGAAGTCAACTTCCAGTTTATAGACTTTTTTGCCGTATGAGTATACGTTGCTCAGGATGCAACGCGTGGAGGTAAGTCTACCGCTTTTGATTGTTGGTTTTTAGTTTTATTTTTCTTTTGCTATTTGCATTTTACAAATTCGTTTGACAACTTCTGATCTTACGAAAAGGTTTTCACGTGAATTCGTTACGTTCAATAGATTGGGTGCGGATTACACTTTTGCGTATCTACAGACCTGTATGTTTGTATATGCTCAATTTTACTTCTAGCCTAAATTTTCTAATAGCAGGATGATGCGCACTAATTTGCTTTGGATGTCATTCAATCATGTTTCTTCCATCCGCTAAATTTTCTACATGGAATGATCTTTTTGCTTTTCATAGAGGCCTGGTACTTTGTTTTACCGAGTCTCATTAACTTCATTTGAACTTAATTTTGGCATTTTTGAAATTCTGAATGGAAGGAAACTCAGTAATGCATTGCCTTTGATCTGAAGTTCTCTATTTCCATGGTATTTTCATGAGTTTAGCTAGGTTTTGAGAGTGAATCTGAAATCCCAGTAACTGGAGTTGAAATATCTCTAAGATGTTTATTGCGCTGTCACAGTTGCAGACGCTTCGTTGATCAAGTCTTACATTTATAGTAGTGGAATTGTGTTTGAGCATCACTTGGGTTAGTCAGACTAAAGCTTGCTGGTAACAATTTTACTGAACATCGAAATTGGAATGAGTTTTAGAACAAGAACGTTAGTTGATGTTGGTCCTCCTTCTTGCTACCTAAATAACTAGGGTTTTCTGTTCATTATTTGCTAATTTGTCCTTATTATCCAGTACTTAGTTTCTTTCCAAATGAGGTGGCTTCAGACTTAACTCTATTCTTTTTTTTCAAGGTCGGATCTCTGAAATGTGACACCAGTGCCTATTTAGAGTGTAAAAGACACTTAACTAATTGTATTGTATAATGTATAGTTTTCAGGTTTTTATAATGTTTTCTACCAGTATGTGCGGTTTAGAAATGCATATACTCTCTTTACTCAACGCTGGAACGGAATAAGAAAATACTGAGCTTATACGTTAATATTCCACTTCTGAAATGCGATTTCTTTGTATAGTAAAGTTTAGTAAGTTGATTGAATGTACTGTCATGCCGTATAAGGTCGTGTTTGTAATGAATAGTTGTGTTTGCTTAGTTTACTACTTTAGTCATATTTTGAGGCTAAAATCTTTTATGACGCTTTATCGTATTCGTTCTGATATATCACTGGGTCGTCTCTGAAACATGACTTCCTGGGGCTCAAATATTTTTATAAGGTAGAACGGTTGGAAACCTTTTCCACAAAGCTGTTGATATATTAAAAGTATTGAAAGGTTTACTGGCAAATTAAGGACTGTATTTAGATAGGACTCTATTTCCAGAAATCAACAATAAGAAATTTAGTTCCTAGGAATGTAAATTAACGTTTCTGACATATGTTCATGATTTCTATCCTTTTTATTCTGTTTCTGAACCAATCAAATGCTGCAAAACGGCTTATCTGCTTTGTTGGCATGAGGTCTTCCTTGCCCGTTCTGATTGGTAAGAGTTGGTGCTCGAAGCCGGTATTCAAATACAGGCTTCTATCACCAGTTTGACTTTATTTGTCTCCATGTGGATTGTTCTGTGTTTCCAAAACGACATGTCTCAATGCCCCTGATCGTGATCGAATTGTTCAGATTTCTTATCCCCTACCATTTTCATTGTCGATCGTGACGGACTACTAATGCCACGATGGTCACTGGGAGTATATCATTGTATGGTGCAATGATATATACCAACTCTAGAAATTTGGCCCAATGCATTTTAAAGACCAAATAAGATTGCTTTAAATTATGCCCTCGATGGCACAAAATTTCCGCTTGTCAAGCTATTTGAAGTCAAAGATCTTTTTTCTCTTCAGATTGAATTCCTTTTCGTGTTCTTACATTTTACTATTGTTAGATTGTAGTAATCACCTGGTTCACGTTTATGATTTTGAGCTTTGAGGCTGAGAAGTATTACTTACGTCCTGCCCATAATCATTCAAACAGGGTGGGTAAGGCTTTTATCCCAAAATTGTATAACTATACCTGGCACTTTTTTTCTGACGAGGAAAACCTTGAAGCATTTATAATTGCTTTCACTTTTGATATAGCTGCATTAATGCGAGAATTAAGGCAAATAATCCGCATAGTACTGGTATTTTAGCATTCTAATGAAGCTTGTTCGAATCTCACCTCCTTCCCCCCCCCCCCCTCTTCAATATGAAGTTGATATGGGATTTGTAGGGATTGTGATTGATTTTACTAATCCATATTATTTTTTCTTTTTCAGATCTACCAGACACGTCTTTTGATGTGAGCATCGCACCTATCACTTCAAATCAACCCATACTTTCTCCTAACGGTGGAGAAAATCTCGGCTCAATCTTTCACAAGGAACTCGAATTAGCTCTGAGTAAAATTCAATCACTTGAAGTAAGTCATCCTTTACCTAATTTCGCTCCGTTCATTTTTCCGTTGCCATATTAAATATGTACTGACATGTAAAAATTTTTACAATTACGCCATTAAAGAGTACTGAATTTGTGTAATCTTTAGCCAGTATCTAGACATAGTATGTGATCTTTGAAGGACGAGCATGCATACGAAATCATGCATAACTTGTCGTGAATTTACTGGTAAACTCCCTTCATATGACCTATTGACTGTTATCTCGTTGGTCCTCCGATTTGTGCGGTTTTTATCACTTCGAAATGCAGTTATTTTTCTTTGCAGTAGATATCCATTGATAATAATTTGAATGCACACTTTCCTTTGTCTTGGAGAGCTTACGCATTGTGGAGCAGTATGGAATCCTCGATTAAGATCTTTTTGAATAGGAGAGTGTGGGTTAAGTCTCTTTGTTAACGCTGAATAGGCCTGAAATTGCTTCGAATTTGTTAGGTCAATAAAATCAATAACATTTTTAATTTCTTGCAAACAATTGATATAATTTCGATATATTTATTTGGAGCAAGAATTAGTCATTTTAAACTCCCCAAATCGGTTGAACAGTTGAATACTCTTTCCACGATTAAAGCAGAAAATGTATCAAATTTCCCGGAATCGTTATTGATTCAAGTTCCATTTTACTTGACTAAAATGATTAGCGATTGCTTTTGTACTTACCCAAGGTTCAATTAGAAGAAAAACGGAAATCGGAGAACAACTTCATGAATGAGAGTAATGAACTCGCCATGCGTAATCGGTCTCTCGAAGTTCAGCTCTCCCAATTTCAGGAGGAATGCAATAATCTGAAAAAATTGGTGCATAATCATACTGATGATGTAAAGGCACTTAAGGTAAGACTGTTAATGGCTTTGCCTAAATCTTTAATTTGCCAGAAACTAGCCATTTGCTAATTAATTGTATGATATTTGCCTTATTTATCTCAGCTAATGTTGAATTAAAGGCTTTAAGGCTCACTAATGTACTTTTACTCACTAACTGTTCCAAATTATGGTCTGTCATCTTATGTATAACTGCTTAGAGTTGACAGTTCAAGAGGAAAGAGTTTTGCTAAATCTTCTCTCGTTCTATCTTCTAACGCTTCGTCAAGGTAACTTTAGAAGAGAGACGACGTCTGACTAATCTGCTGAATAAGTTCACTTAGTGAACTAAATCACCTTCGAAATAGAGAGGTGATATTTGAAATTTGTCAATGAATAGAAAATTTGAAACAAAATCTGTTTTCTTTGTTTTTCCTATGATGGCTTTTTTTCTTGTAGAATGCCAGGTTAGAACTTGAAGATTTGAAGAAGTCTCTCTCTGAGATCCAAATGGACAAAGAATCTCTACTTCAGCGTCTTAAACTTGTAGGTCTAATGTATTTTTATTTAGATTTATTTATTGCTCTGGGTATGTTCTGCCTAAGGTATAACTTGATCAACCTTCATTTAATTGATTATTTAGTCCTTTCTACTCTCCTTAACCAAGAATTTTCCAAAAGTTGTTTAATTACAAATTCGGAATCATCTAAATTGAAAGACGGGAGAAGAGAAATTGATTACCACTTACTGGTGGATTTCAGGTATCCATCTTGACCAAGTAAAATCAAAATGCCTTGGTCATACGCAATCGTTTCATTTAGTTAACTGCGCTAGAACCAATGGTTTGAGTATTTGAGTCCTTTCATTAAGGACTTAATAAGAAAATTTCATGAGCCTTAATTAGACTAGATGCTTGGAAATAGCTTGAAGACGATTTTGCAGAAATCTGCTACTTTATATTCATATTTTACAGGTTGAAAACGAGCGTGATGATCTCTACGGTCGTTTGGCCTCTGCGATGGAAGAGTTGAAGATTTCTTCTTCTGAAGAGCAACGTAAAAAAGAAATTGAGGTATTTTTTGCAGTTACCAAAAAAATTAAGTAAATACTTGTGTTAGACAGCATAAATGCATAGGAAATTGCGGAAATTGTGCCAGACAAAGCCGTTTTGCCTATAGTGCTATTAGTCCTAACCTTTCGTAATGCGCCTTTGTGTCTGCGATGGCATTTTAGGTTGGACAGTTAGTCAATTGTCTTCATAATAAGTAATGTTTTGTTTTATTGTCTTTAAGGACGTCCATTGGTCATGAGTGTCGATTATTTAGTCGATGGGGATTTTAAAAGCGCGAAAGCTCGTGATTCATGGTTTTCGGCTTTTTGCTGCCTTAAATTGGCTCAAATTCGTCACAGCAACCATCAATTTTTTTCTATAATTTTACCGCGTATCGAACAGGTTAGATAAGACTGACGGTCCATTAATATAATCAAATAAATAAACGATCCAAATGCATGTCTCATAAATCTTAAAACTGGGCGTAGTTTCCGAGACATAATGTTTTTGCGTATATTGATAAGTACTGCAGATTCCTTGCCCGCATTTGACACACAAGTTCAAAGTGGAATTTATATTTGTTTAAAATTGACATGATAGTTAAAAATTGGCAAGATCTTTTCCCAGTTTAGTAGATATATCGAAACGATTCATCAATAGCTTTATGCTATGTTTAGTTACCTACCTTTCTTTCAGTTTCTTGGGACACAACTGAATGAGAAAGAGGATTTTTTTATAATTAATAACTTTTTATTCAGTTTTTATCGATTTGCGCATTCATAGCAAAACCTTGGTAGAGTGTACATGCTGTTTTTGGTATTTGTTTATTTCTATTATCATTGCAACACACTGATTATCGAGCGCTTTTGTTAAAATCTTACTCAAGTCCCTTTTGATGGTGGTTTCTAAATTGCCAATCCTGCGTTAACTATCGATATTTATAAATTACTTTTTGGTGGCATTTTGGCTGTCGGAGCTCAAAGCCACTCAATCTACTTTTCAAAAACAGTTTGCATACGAATTCGGGTCCTAAATGAGTGGTTTGGAATGGAATGCATGGGCGAATTGCCATAGAGATATTTGCACTGATAACTTGCCTCGGCACTGTTTTCACCTGTTGATCAGTAAGCTGGAGGTTATGTGAATTCCATATCAACAAATTGCCGTTTTCATTTAATTACCTCAATATTTAGAAAATATCTGACAGCAATAATTTAGCTTCTTGAATTGCGTTACATTTTAATTTGACTGATCATGCATGTCATCCGAATTTCTTTTTTTAAATATAAGCCATTAGCAAGTGAATTTTATCGTGAGATGTAGTTTCAGCCGCAATATTGTCCGTGGAATTAATTGTAAGTATTCAGGTTCTAGCAACAACAGTAATTTAGGTGGAAAATAGGTGAGCAATATCTTGTCAAACTGCCGCCTTTTGGTAGAATGACGGGCTCGTTAAATTCTGTGTCGGTATCCCCCCCCCCTGTTTTTCTCTTTATCCATTCTTGTTTGTTGTGTCATATCCTGTGGTTAAAATTCCAAAATATGTGGGGAAATTGGATTTTGGCTGTTAAGGTAGTTAGGTTTACGGTTCTTTTCTTAGTCTGAATGGTGGTAGAATGAGCCAAGGGTGATTTAAAACTTAATTAAGGGATGTTTGTGGCTAAGGTAAGTTGAGTTGAATGCCCATAAAGATCTATAAAACCTTAGAAAAAATAGATAGATGAAACAAGTAGAAGCGTGAGGGCAAGTGACCATCTTGGCACAATGGCCACCAATTTCCTCTTCAATTGTGGGGCCTAAAGGTCATTATAACTGATCAATTATAAGTGCGTTTGAACAGTGGTAAACTGAATGATTGTGGGGTCCGTTTATTATTTTGGGATTAGCCAAACAATCATTCATTGCAGAAAAGCTCCGATTTGGTGGTTGAAGAACTGCGTGACTATGTGGCGAAGCTTCGTTTGGACCACATTGACATGGAAGCTGCTGTGGTGATGGCTCAAGAAAGTCAGGCCGCTGCAGAAACAGCTCGAGATCATATTCTGGAGGATCTGGGCACACTGCAAGCCAATCTCGCCTCTTCCTTTGATGATTTCTCCTCGTCGTTGTCGGCCCTTCTCGTTCCCGAAGTTGTCTCCCTTGCCAACGCTCTCTTGAACTTACTCTCACAAAATAAGTTAGCGGATGAGAAGACTGTTTCAGGTGCTGAGTATGCGACTCAAACTGACACTGAAACTGCAGCACCAGTTGATGTAAGCACTTTGTGTTTTATGCCCGATATCTATCGACCATTCCTTGATTTTTATGAGTATTAGTAGCTTTGCTCGCTGTTTTATACTTTACTCAGTTTGTGATAAGTTGCCCTTCCTACAATCTTTGTTTATTAGTTCAACTTTGCGAACAAAATACAGTCAGCCTTTAGATTACCAAGAACCCTGGCTTTGACATCTTTACGTCAGCTACACGCTATTGTCTAGGTGAGATTTGACTGCGATTTTGATGCGACAGAGTGGTAGCTGTTTTAGTTTGAAACGGTGCATTTAAAGTAAGAATTGTTTATACAGATAGGTTCTTTCGATACGTCCTCGTACGTGCTACCTTACGTTCACGCCGAGAAATCTTCATTTATTTCCAGACTAATTTAAGCTATATGGATGCGTGTGTCAAATGAAATGGTGCTAACAATTTCGTATTGCAAAACTGCAAATCGATCCCTGCCATTTGGCATCAGAGCTTACTCTGTTGTGGTTAAATTCGATATCTACTTGAAATTGCTTACAGCTGTCGTTAAGATGTAGATAACGAATGTAGCGGTATTTGTGCCGGCAGCATTGTTAGTCACGCTCTCTCAGTTAACGAACAAATATTACTGACATTGCCTCCGCATGTGAACAGCCTGAACCGAAGTATCCATAAAGTAGAGCACAAAATCTATTGGTCACAAAATAATTACAATTTTCATAATATTTTATAGTTTACACAAGTTTTTTCTCTAAGCCAGCCTGTGACGGTGAATCTCCTAGTGGTTGTATCAATTGTTCCAGTTGTATTGAATCTAATTAACTATTAACGTTTTGGGGTTGTATAAAATTAAACCACATCTCACATCGGGCTATCTTTATTAACCTGGTGTTCTTTTTAATCAAAATACATCTCGGATCTATTTTTGTGATTTATTTGTTTCAGTATTTTACAAATATTCCTTTTTTGGACTAGCGACTAAATTCACTAACCGTTCTTTAGCTATACTTATTCCGCTTGATTTGATTGCAGTGCTATTTTAAATTAATCCGGCAACTCTTTTATTAAGTTCATTAGAAAAAGTTTAAATTCTATCCGCCTTAACTGTTTTTTTCCTTCTGATTGATGTATTCGGTGCTGCACTTGCAACATAAATTCTTCATTTAAAATTGAACACTTTTTCTATGAAAATGAATGTACATTCTTTGCCAACCTGCAGACTTACTTCTCTGTTGACCGAATAGGTAGCCTAGAATGGATTTACGTATAACCCCTTCGATGAATCAGCATGCTGAGATCATCCTCATCAATCGAAATAACTACGCTCTTCCTGACTGCTCATATGTGGGGGGGGGAACTTAGGTTTCTTAAAGTAGTGTCTTTCTGCTTTCTCTACTCTATATTAGTGCCATAGGACCATTTTACTGAAGATGAAGCAATGGGTAAGATACCTCCTACAGATTATGCTTCGGACTATTGGGGAAATAAGTAATAAGCAACTTTTGAAAATGAATCGGCTTATCGAAATGTCATAACATTATAACAGGTCAGCAATTTGCCACGCGACGATTTTTTTCTTATTTTAGAATCAAATTGAAGTGTCTGTTCAGACTGACCTTCAAGAAGTGGCTATTGAATCTCCGATTGTGATAGAACAGGTCGGCGGTAGTGAGAAGGACCTGGTTCAAACTCATTCAATCTCTATGAACGAGGAGGAAATTACTCAGTTGGTAAGTTTGCCACTGTATCTCTGTCCACTCCGTCTACGGGCATTGTGAACACTTGCTGGTTAGTCTCACTTGTGATGAATTCGATTTCTGGATCCACGATCTTTGTGCCTACTAATGATCGTTTGACTAATGTTGGCAGAATTGGAAATAGAGAGCAGGAGTATATTTACTAACTACGGTATTGTCGCTTTGTAGGTTAGACCTTTTTCGAACTTCTTAATATCTCTAGGTTAATATCCTAGGTTATTTGTGAAGCCTCTAAATTATGGCATATACCATTGGTAGGCATGATTTCTTAAGGGTGCTACGATACTAAATTGGAGAGCCATTAGATGTTGCTAGTGATACTTAATAAATAAGTTCAGGCGACCAGTATACTTTGCAAGCCATAACGTATGAGAGGCTGGTGGAAATCAGTCAATAGGGCTAAAGAGAATGAGACAAACACAAATTTTTGTAACCCGGAATATTTTTTTTCATCTTATTGCGTGAGAAACTGTGCCTCATGGAGGAGAGATATCGCGAGGAGCGAGCGTTGAGTGCTCGAGCTCATCATCTCTGCGAGTTGAACGAGAAGGAGGCGCGTCGATTCCACGCCATTGGAGAGCGTTATCGCTCTGCCATCACTGCCTTCCTCGGTCGTCTAGAATCTCGAGGTCTCGTAGAATTGCTGCGACGAGAGAATGGTGTTGCCGATGATGCTGTCTCCATCTCGTATGATATCGCTCAGGAACTCAACTCTGTCTGTTCACAGCTAGTCCTCTCGGGTGATCGACTCAATGTATGTATCCCAACGATTACCGTTGTTTAATCAATATATTACTTCTCCTCTCAGTTCATATTGATGTAGGCAGCTGCTCCTCAATAGTGATTATATAAGGGCCGTATTGAATCCTTAATCTGTACGGAGGATGTTATTCTGATGTGTCGCATTAGCACTTTTGTTTTTACAAGAAGGGAAATCGGCACTGGAAGACCTTGTCGATCGTTGCGTCCAGGAAGCAGTATTCTAGTCTATGCGTAATTGCAAGATTCCCACCTATGTCTTGGGCGCAAAATCGCTAAAATATTTATCTTTGCTGTCCATTTCAATGTAATTTCTCAAACAATGGTTGATTTTGCGTTCTCTTCTTAACTCACAGAATTTCCCAGTACGAGGCTAAATAGGGTATTGGAAATGAGATAATAGTAAATCAAGGATATCAATGTTTACTTCCAAATACTATTAAGGGCCATTTTCTTGTTGACCCCTGAATTATTGAATGATTTCATGTAAGTGACGTTCAGAACTTTGCTGACTGACTTTGATAGCAAATCATTGGCAGTTGAATACCATTAATCGTCATTCCGCAATTACTACCTTGATGATATGTTTTTGAATCATTGATTGAACATCGTTCTACTGTCCATTCCTTCAAAAGCTTGATATCAGATTGGCTTGGTAGAGCTTGGAAGTTTAACTTACTAAATTTGGCCATTATGCGACACTGGGTGAATTGTCTTACTGATCACACTTAACGTATATGATGGTCTAGTTTATTGGCACTAACTCTCAACATTACCCGATTCCAGATTGGGCTAGTAACTAATGGCAGCCCGGTCTGCAGTGTGCTTGCACTGTGTCCTGCTGTACATGCGTTTTATTGTACCAATGGTAACAATGATATAGTGGTATGTTCTACAAATGGCTTATATTTCCTTGATAGAGCGGCACTATGTTTCTGTTGGTTGAAGATGAGTACTTTAATCCAATGGAAGGAAAATTATCAATTTTGTTGTTAATTGGCACGAGTATTACATTTTTGTTGAAATGTGCTAAATTGTTGGGTTTTGAGTAAATTGTTGAAATTTCCTATATCACCTTTTTTTAGTTTCTCCATTTTAAGACTATCTTAGGAGGCAAATAAGAGACAAATAACAGTTTATCCTTTGAACCCTTTATTTGCTAATATCTATTGCTTTCCCTCTTGCCAATAGGAGATGAGAAAAGAGAACGGTCGACTAAGAGAGGATATAAATTATCTTCGTGAGAAACTGAAGAAGAGCCGAAACATGGAGGGTGGGTGGTTTCAACGCTTAATTGTTTATTTAGACTACTCTTCCTCTTTCAATTCGCCTTTACTATTTCCTATTTTAGAGAAGATCCGCTGTCTTGCGGAGAATTCAAAGTATCTGGAATCGGAATTGGAGCGAATGCTGCATAAAGTGGGCTTCTTTCTTTTTAAAAATAATTACTACTTATTTCCGTAGGGATTTTTCAGACAGTTGTCTGCATTCATAATGTATAACCCTCTGTTGCGCCAGACGGATAATTAAGCAACCGTCTGTTATATGACACTTTGAAGTGATAAAGTACTTCTGTATTATTTTTGGAAAGTATGGCTTATTTGGCCATGATGGAAGTTTTCGTCCAGCATAAATTCAAACGCAGTTGTATTAGAAAAACTAATCAAGTTTCCTATAGCCCATGCCTGAAATGCTTGAGAAATTAACTAATTTAATCATTAGTTTTCAACCAAACAACTCCCTGTATTTCTTTTCTAGCAAAGTCTTTCAAGTAGAGACGAGCAACAAATTCGGAACGAACATAAGAAGATTTCTCTTACGTCCAGACCTACAAGTAAGTTTCAAATTCAAATTTGTTTATAAATATATCTATAATAGCCTTGTATTACGCCCACTGTTTCCATATTCAAGGTTTCACTCATTCTGTCAGTAAGACTTGTAATGGTAAAATACCATGTTCATTAACGATGAATCTGCAAATAGTAAGGAGTAAGGCACTTGTTTAGTAACAATATTGCTTTAATTGAACTTAGTAGAGAGAGAGGTGGAGGAAAGGAGAGGGGCACAAAGCGTATGCTAGAATAGATGCTTAGGGTTTGGAGTTGGGTGAATGACTAATCTGTGGGAATTAGTCGGTAGGAGTTTGAAAAGTGTGAGCCTAGCACAGTTGTGCATTGGAAACACGGAACGTTAGAGTCTGTACGATGAAAGATTGCATCTGCTTATTTATAGATAGAGTCTATCTACAACGGTAAGAGCTATCTTACCATATGGGAATGTAGCTGGGACGATAACGTAAACGAATGATCATTAATTAGGAGGTATTGTCGCACGATCATTTGAGACTAAACAGGAGATTTAATCGGCGTATTGATGTATGCATTGGTGGTAATCTCTTAATAATTGGTATCGTTCTATTAATCACTCAACTGCCTAAAATTACGTCATTTCGAAACCTAGTAATAGTTCATTATGAACTACTTTTGATACATTAATGAAAGACTACTGCTTCAAGTAATTGCCCTATCACTAGTCTAGAAGCTTCACCAAAGTAAGGAAGATATTTTACAGAGACGTAATGAGAGACAGAAGTGGGAGTAGGAGGATAAGAAATTTGTAGGGAAAATTACGTTATTGTGATGTTGAGGTCACGCTGAGCATATTTTGCTGATCAATAATCATCTCACGGTTGGGATGGGACGTGGTTTACGGATCAAAATGTGCGTTGAATTTGTTCTGTTCTACCTGTGATCCATCTATGTTCTGCCTTCGCTTCAACATTTTGACAATTGCGAGGATGAAGTTTCATTTGTCTTCCTTTCTAAAAGCAATCGAACTAACTATTTACTCCCGAGCTGTTTCTCTTAACTTTCATTGGCATAGCAAGGATGTATTTTGACAACTGTACATTTGACATGCACTTAAATTTCTATTTCTACTCTTTTCATGTGTGTTTTAATGGGGGTCCATTTGTTTCGGTCTTCATTCAAATTGAATTTAAAATTAAATACCATTAATTGATAATTTATCTTTTTAAGACGAAAGGAACCGGTATTACCTTCAACTTAACTTTTTCCTTACATAGTTGAAGACGCAGTGGATACAGATGATGACAGTGTGGCCTACACAGATTTGAGTCAGATCTCTTCCCGACCTCCCTACTCGCCCCCTCATTCTTCAGACAATCGTCAAGGCATCGGGGCACATCACAGTCCCTCCTCATCAGAGAGACAGCAGAAGCGGCAGACTAATGGTGGAGGACAACGTTGCCGTGGTTTTCAGGCCGCTACTTCCTCTCCGCCTCCATCCCACACTCGCTCTGGTGAGCTAATACACACACACACACACACACACACACACACACGCCCATACACACACAAACATACATATATATATATATATAACTGTCTCGGCTTTCTTAGCTGTTCTGTTAGCTTTTTTGTTGGTGCTTGGTCACTGGATTATTCGAATGATGCTCGTATTCCTCTCCACCAGAGGAGGACTCCAATGACTTAGTTTCGTCATCGGCTCTGTAAAGAATACTTCTTATGCATTAGTATTTGAAATGGTTTTGTGGACGTATTCCCAGCGAATTATTGGTTTCATCCAATTTCGGTTCAATCGCAAATAAGCCATAGGGGCGTTCTGTTTGAGAGAGAAACGCCGAAGACTTTTTTCATATAAGGACGTGGTCGCAAGCTATTTGGCATAGCAAGAATTAAGGGGAAAATATGAAAGAAGTCCATGTGTTGCTATCGTACTATTAAAATGTGACTTTTCCGAAATTTAAAATTAGTCATAATTTTTTTCATTTCAAATAATTTCACTCCGGAACAAGATCCCATCAAGGCTTTATTTTATCCAACATCACTAATCTTTGGTTTTCGAGTTTTGTTTATGCTCTCCTTGGGTTGACAAGTTCTTTTGCTGTTCGTCGCTTTGGTGGCGGTTTTGTTCGAAAAAGGCTTAGTTGTCAATGAAGTTCAGTTTTGAAAGTAATTGAAAGTATAGCTTTTATAACTTGCAGTCTTCATACGTCGTACACTAGATCACAATTCGGGCTTGATTCACTATTTTTGCATTAATTGCTGGCCAACCATTAGTCAGTCAAGTACATCGCATTTTTAAGAAAGCAAACAATCATGGTTGTAGGGAAGAATTGAAAGTCCTAAGTGGATTCTTGTCTTTACTTTAGGTTGTATCAGATTTTGGAATTACTCTCTAGAAATACAAAGATTGAATTCGACTAAGAGTCGTCTATAATGTGCTCTATTAAATGGCCTTTTACACGTAATGGAAAGAATGTATGGAGTGAAGACCGCTATGTAGCTAGCAATTTTCTTTTGTTTACAGCCTCATCTGTTCGAGAAGATTCGGAACCGCCTCCGACATATCCCAATGGTCCTGGAAATCAATCCTCTGCTGATGCACCTGAGCGACCAGGTAATTGTCCATTTCTCTTCTAGCTTATATTTTTTTATTTATTAAGGTGCCTTACTTTGTTCCTGTTCAAATGCTCTTCAAAGTTCAACGCATTCACTTTTGGTAGATGGGGGGGGGGAATACGCATTGGGCATCCCACTTTCACTGAGTAGTCGACCTTCTCCAGCTAAGCGAACGAGAAATTTCCACTTCTATCGGGAGCCACCTTTTTTCGTTTTTTAGTTTGAGATATTTGACGGTGTTTGACTTCTTTGCAGCTGAACTTGGTGGCTACTTTGTGAAAAGTGGGCATAGTGCAATTGAACAAATAAATTCTTATTGAATTAATACCCGAAGGGATCGTTCGTGCAAAATCCGCCTAAGATTGTTTCATTAGTGGACTTGGCATTAGGCTTGTATGCATTCATTTCGTCACAGATTTATTTGCTGTTAATTATCACTGTATGTGTGAAACGGTAAGTAAGTTTGTTGAAATGAATCCTATGGTACCTTGTCAGCGTGTATTTAATACGAATGGAAACTTATTGTAGTAGGTCGAACTTGTAGATTCAAAAGCATTTTGACTTTATGAGAAAGTGTTAGATGATAATTGAGTGAGAATCATGCTGTTTTGTAGGTCAAACTTTGTTCTCTCAAATATTCGTTGTATCTGTTGTCGGTTTAGATTGATTCGGGATGCAGTGCTGTGATTTTATTTTATAAACTAAATATGTAATGTGTTTGGAGAGGAAGGTCTTCGTACATTGAGAAAATTTTCATAAACTCTTATGCAAAATCGGGGCCAAGTATTTGATAATGGAGGTCCAAACGTCTTAAAATAAAGCAAATCGTCATCTGTGCTTGTCTCATACTCTTTTTTATGAAAACAAGACTAATTAGTGATCATATTATTCGATGCTTAGATGTGAGGTCACGTTTGAAATTATCCTGTGGTTGACATCATTGCAGTTCGGCTTATAGGTTTTGTTGCTTGCACATTTGATTTAAAATTTTTCCACTTTGTAGAAGATATGTACTCAAGATTAGCCGAACTTCGAAGGCGTAATGAACTTCAGCCCTTCCATCTTCGAACAAATTATCCCATAGAGACCCAGGTAAACTCTCTTCTCCATAACTGACACCACTTGACGTAGGTAAGAACCATTTTTCCTTTCCTTTAAAGCTGCAGAGTCCCAACCAACTCTTCACCCTACTACAAACAGTTCATAAAAATGGCATAGAAAGGCAACAACAACAGTGCTCCCATTCATCTATGGAATCACCGGCCCCTGCTGGGTTCACTTTGCCTCCTAAAGGTCTCCAATCGATTTCTGAGGTTCTTCTTACGGGGTCTAAAGGGATTGTTGGTGCCGAAAAACTGGATCTCACTTCAACGCGCTCTCGTACGACTGATTCCACTTTCGAACCAATTACTAAAGATGTGAGTCTAATCGAATTGGTTGAAGTTAGCTTGCCCAGGTGTGATAAGCCTTGAACGTCCTCTGGATATGGGGCAATTGTAAAACTCTAATTTGGGTTACTTGAGTTTGGCCGTTCTCTGCTCTTGAGCGTTTCGTTCACTGAAAATGTTTGAGTATTTAGTTGTTTTTTTTACTTTTAGACCGCTCCGTTTCGACGTTCAAACCCGCCTCTGAAAAAGGTACTTTTGTTTATTGAATAACTTGTTAAAAATATGTGGGATGTTTGTATTTTGAACGCTTTGTGCGTTTTTCTGTTTAGGAAGCCCTCGCTTTTGAGGTGAATCTCAGTCCACCTAGACGACACCGAAAGGCCCTACCTCCCTCTCTGTCTCAACGAAGTGTCGCAAGGTCTGACGACACCTCGAAACCCGGTGTCCGTTCTGCTGTCTTTAGAGGTTCTTCATCAAATCCCCCTTCTATGACCTCTTCCAAAGCACGAACAAAGGGTTGGGTAAGGGACACAAAATATGGCAAGTATATATATTAATACGTCCTAATGTATCTTTTTTACTTATTAGGCAACTCCAGCAGCTGTTGCAGCCTCGAATTCCCGTCGGCCATTGAATGATACAGCAGGAAAAGCAAATCGAGGGTGAATTGCTCCTCCTCTACCTTGAATTATTCATCTGCCCCTATCCCCCTTGTTTATAGCTCCCCTTCCTCTCTGCTTCGCCGCTATGTGTTTAACAACTACATGTGTATGGTTTATTTTTTAGATAAACAACTATTCTGATAAAATACTTTAGAAATTTTGGTTGTTAGAAGATAAAGTTGTGTGATTGGTGAATTTTATGCAACTCCTTACATGAACTAATTAAATCAAAACTAGCCTCTTCGTCTGGACGTCTATTTTCGCTTATGTGTGGAATAGAGTAAGATAAAATTTAAATTGACAACAGAGGAGCTATTCAGCCTTACTACTTTCAAAGTCGTTATCTATGAATATTGCTGTGATTAAATTACAAACGCTGTAGCCGACTCGAGGTTATCGCCATTTTCGAGGTTATCGTCGTTTCGACTTGAAGATTACAAAGTCCAGAGTAAAGTAGCGGAAGGAGATAAGAGTTGGGTAATAATTTGATCAAACTAAGGGTAAATGGACGATGAATAGATTAAAAAGGGAATAATACAAATTAATATGATATACTTCTGCGTAAGTATTTATAACTTATTTGGTACTTAACACTCAAGTATAAGGTCTAACTTTGGGCTATTATGAACGATTGTTTACTTTATGTTATATTGACCAGAGAAGCTTAAGATGAGGTACAGATTCATAACAATTTAGATTTTAAATGAATTGAAGAGGAACACACATGAGCTAAATATTCAGAATTACTCAACTAATGACAAAGTAAGAGTAATATGAATATATATACAAGTAACTAATGCACACTTTGATTTCTGAAAGAAAATATTCTCGGCAAAATATCTATCAAAACGCCTGCCATTTGAAATAAATAAATATTATTCAACTACAAATTCTGGTTTTGCAGTGAGACCGACCATAGATATTGATATCAGGGAACAACTAAATATAAAAATAGTTTTTAATTCCTAAAATCAAAGTAAATAACACTGGACTGCTTTTACTGAATAATATTTGCAGTGAAATAACTTTAGGCAATTTAAATTTCATTTCAATCGTTTTGCTGTACAAAATAACCTAGAAATAACCTTGATGGATATTTCATAAGACTCTATTAACTTTGAGTAATTCTTTCATTTAGGAAAATAAAATAGTAACATAATATTATCCATAAATTTTGTTGAAAATCCATATAGCTGTTAATTTTTAGATCAAATGCTTTATTTAAGACAATCTTTTTGGGTATTAAGATTTCGCATTCCGCTTTTTACATATAATTTAAAAACTGTTAATATCTTTCCTTGACGTTGAATTCGGATGATTTTATTATCAAATGTTAAGGAAAAACAAGAATTGGATGTCAATATCCTTCACATTAAAATGTAAAAAGTTATCGAATATATAAATGTATATACGTGTGTGTATGTTCTACAGATATTATGGCTGATACGGACCCCACTGTAATAAAGAAGACCCAGGATCTTCTAGGAAAGCTGATAAAGAAACCTATCTTAACAGTTAAGCTGCTATCCCGGCCACCTTTTCGATTTATTCATGACATATGCACATCGGTATGTGATATTTTAATTTGAAATATTCAGCTCACACAATCAACCGGAATTATGAAGGGCCTTTTTACACCAAATGAAACTAATGCTGAGTTCATTAAAGATAAAGACGTCAAAAAAGCCTACCTTAGAAAGGTCATTGATTTTGTGACCGTGGCTAATAATGCTGCTCCAAATGTAAAAATCAGCAGCATTATCTCTGGCAAAGATGCCGAACGCACCAATATACTATTGCAACTGCTTGCTGAAATCGCAAATAAGGGTGTAAGATTACCATTTTTTCAATTTAATGAATTTATAGATCGACAATGCAGATTGTGTTAATAAGGCATTAAGGGTAAACAAGGATAGTTCTAATATTAAACCTGAAGCGAGTGAAAATAGAAGGGAGTTATGTATGTTTTCCAAAAAGGTAACATTTCTTAGCTTCTCAAATTCCTGCTTCAACAAAGCTACCTTCAATGAGATCAGAATCTGAAACTCGCAAAATTTCTTTCAGTAGAACTCGTTCTAATGATAGAATTCCTAAAAAACCCCAAGGAAAGGTAATTTAATGTTTACCAGACAAATAATTTGTAGGAGCATATAATCTCGGATAAAAGGTCTTCTATACCGCAGCCGAACATGAAGTCTTTAGGTGGCGCTCTCGATCACTCGCACATTGCCAGACCTTATTCAGCTCAAGAGTTTATGAAATCTCAAAGTGGTATTTATTTTTTGCTATTATAATTTTTCTTAGCCGTGGCCGAGGTGTGCCTTTAAAGGATCTAACTTTGTAGATGTCTTTTTAGATCACATAATTTTATTTGTAGAATGTGTAACTGTAACAGAGATGTTTGCTAAGACTGAGGAGTTAAGTGAGACTGGGAGTTAGTTTTTACTATCCAGATCCACGGACATCCCATATGTTTGATTCGATCTATTATAAAGAAACTTAAATGTTGTCAAGAGGGAACGCAAAAGACATTACCTATCTAATATTTTCAAAAAGTAAAAGCCTAGACCCATTTTCAATTTGTTATATTATGAATATAATATGTTTTTAAGATAATTTCAATTTTTCGGGATTGCCCAAAAATTTATCTCACATCACCTTAATATTGAAGAATCGCCAGCATGAGAATCGTCAGTATTTCCACTAATTTCAATTAATTCTCTTTGTATCCTGTTCACAAAATTCGGTGCTTAAATAGATCCCAATTAGAATAAAATAAAGGTAGCAGTTTTGATGCACATCTCAAAACTATTCAAAGATGACTCCGATATGAAAAAGCCATTTTCTTAAGTTTGGCATGTTATTTTGGCTGTATTTCGTCATGATATTTAATAGAAATGTCTCACTGAGAATACTTTGGAATACTGTCAAATCCATTCGAATCTTTTGGTTATTATGAATGTGATGTAATTAGTGAATGAATGCTATAAGGGCGATAATTTAATAATGTGGTGTTTTGCTCATTTTAACCAGGATTTAGCAAAAAATATGTCTTGGAAATGCGAAAGTTGATTATTATAAAAACTTGAATTATACATTTGGAATTTTCAATCATGCATAGCATAGGGTACTGAATGTGGCTTTGTTTAATTGCCACCCTCTTAGTTGAATGAATTCTATTTTCCTTTAGTCGATCAGAATCATATCGAAAAACACTAAACAAAGGGATTTTCATAAGGTAATTAATTGATAGGGCTGTATTCATAGAATCATAATTTAAATTCATGATGATATTAAAAACAGATAATTGAAACTGTTCCAAATATGCCAGGCTGGTAAATATAATGAACTAACAACATAATCCAAACAATTTGCGATTCCGATTATAAATTCATTGGTTTCATTTTTAGGAGAAAACGAAATAAAATTGTGCAGATTGCAGCACAATTTATCCGCCGACATTATAACAAATAGCAACTTGAAAGAATCAAAAGTAAATAAAACATTTTTCCTTTCTACAAAACCCACAGTTCACAGATTCGCAAAATACACTGATAGGCAAGCAAGCCAATAAAATTGACGATCAAGAAAAGGAAGAGATAGAAATGAGAAAATCGAAAGATGTTCTTCAAGAAGTTATCGCTTACGCCTTGCCAATCAATAAACTCATGTTTCTAATGACAGAAGAATTCGAAAACATGCAATCTGAATACAAGGAGTTAAAAGAATTAAATGCAAAATTAAGGGAGGAATTTCGAAAATTTGAAGGGTTTGTAACAATTTCGGAATTAATATCTTTTCAGAGAATTTGATTCTAAAAGTAAACAACTGAATGACGAATTAATGGAAATAGAAGAAAGAAAAGAGGCTTATAAGAAGGCAATAGTTTCAAGCAGGGTTAATATTTTGGAAAATGAAAAATGTATTGAGCAGTTAATGTTGCGATCAGTCAAGACTTTATGAGGCAGTCAACACTCTCACAATTATTCTAATATTTGCGTTTATATTGACTGTTACATATTACATTTGAGATAATATTGTAAACTGCAGCATAATTGCTTGCATTTCGAAAAATGTTCAAAAGTAAAAACTATGGTTAATCTATTAATTGAAGTCTTGTAAAATAAATAGGCAAATACATGTCTCTGAAATTTTCCAATAAGCTGGAGGTTTAACATGAACGATTTTTTTTACATTTAAAAATAATTAATTAAATTACAATGTATCCCGAAGAGAGTAATATTAAAACATGTTAATTAAACAACAGGAAAGATCACTATTGCATATTTCTCGATTACGAATTAAAAAAATATTTTATCGATTGTACTAATTGAATCAACTCATGAATTTATGGCAACTATATGAATGAGATCGTGGCTGACCTTTTGTTTTTATGTAATAATATATGTTTCGTGAATGCACCGATAATTTAAGTGTGGTGGACTTATTACTTTTCTTTACTGTGTATGGTTTGAAACTATTTTTTTTACATGGTCCTATTGACTCCTTTTTTAACTGTGCCTTTTGCTGTAGCGTATAAGTTTTTTTAGGTAGCAGACATTCTATTCTTTTTGCTGAATTGTTTCAGATTCCTCATTTGCCGAGAATAAATGAGCAAATATAGTCCAAAGGTAAACTGCCTAGTAAAGTAACTTTTAAGTTTAGAAAAAGACAAAATTACCAATCACTGAATATGTGGATCCCGAGGAAAGATTCTGTTACGGAATAACTTCTGAAAACGAAGACGCTTCTGGAGGTAGTAAACATCAGTTTGTTATTCTTAGTAGATGTTGTGTAGATATTTTTCCTTGAAAATATGATTATAAATGAGCTAATTTAATATATCGTGTATTGCTTTTATGTTTGACATTTCACTCCTGTATTTCATTTCCATGAGTTTTTTATTTTATAAATTCTCTATACTCCTATCAAGATAACCCCAGATTGATATTTTACTTTTTTCAAATTCATTATTCGTCTCTTCAACTTAAGTAAAACAAGAAGCATTCATCATTTAGGTTTAAAATCTGAAAATTCATCACCCGCACACACAGAACCCGGCATTGTTGGCAAGACCGGACATTTGATTGGCGCTTTGGGATCAGGTCTCATTTCGGGTGCCACTGGCGCTGTCTCTCTTGGAGCAAGTGTGGTCTGCACTGGCGTTTCTGTTGGCACTAACGTGGTGTCTGGAGCCTTTAACTATATCCACTTTCCCCGTTTCGGATCTACAGCTCAAACGAACACTGCAATCCCTTCTGATTTGCCAACATCAATGGAATCTAATGAAGATACTGCCCCACTTCCCCCCAAAATGGGTGGAATTCTTTCAAGAGTGCCACTTTTAAGGGGCCCTTTAAAGGACAAAGCGGATTAAAAAACCTCTTCTTTCTATCTTACTTCTTATGTTTTTTCTTGATTGATACGCTTGACAATCATCCAAACGGTGTAATTTGACAATGATTTAAACTTGATTTTGTAGGCATAGCAGTTTTCTTAAATTTAATCCAATTAAATTATCTCTGGCCCTATTGCATTTGTTGGTCATTATTTTTTTTATTATATCAGGTTATCATTTAGCACAGCTTCATTTTTTTATGAAATGCACCCAACATCCAAGTTCCACTCACAAATATTTTTGAGAAGAGCTTGGTCTAGGAATAATATTAACTTAATGAACAAATTACTCTTGCCGTTTGGTCAAATGTATCATTCACACTGAATACATTTTATATTAGTGTCTTAAGCTACTTGAGGCAATTCATTGTTGAAAGTGAAAATAAGAAAATGCAAAACACGATTAGTAAATGAGCCCATGTCCAGAAGTTTTTGGCCTCCCTTGATGTGCCAACCAAACTTGGATTAATTTTGCCTATCTTTCACTAAAAAGCCTATTGCATTACTTAGTAAATTCATGCATATAAGCATATGTAAACTATTGCGATTTTGCGCAATGCAGTTCAGAATTGAGAGTTCAATGGATAAAAGTAAATTAAATTTTTCAGTAACGTAATTCAACTTTCATTTTTACCATAATTTTGAGCAAGAAATTCTATCATGGATACAACTTTTCATAGGCTAAAACAGCAGCCAACTAATGATTGAAAAAAATACATAATTGGTAGGGTTTCTCATGGCTACATTTTAAAGGAATTTCATCTCCAACCCCAGTTTTGGATCGATAATTGTGTTGAGTTTTCGGAGCCTAGGATTCTGCTTTCCACGGATTGAAAGGTGCATTTAAATGTAGGTATCGAGAAATTATTATTTTTATATTGGGGTCCACGTTGTGCACCCTGGGCAAAGTATTCTCATTTGGCATAAAGTCTATAACCCAGCAGCAGGTTTCAAGCTACCATGGCCCGACTGTATGTCATATTCGACCACTTTCACAGTACTCACCTCTCCTCTTTCTCTACCTTTGAGTCTGTCTCTTTTACATCTGTGAATCATTCTTCTGTTCCCCTCTTTCAAATTTTTGTGACTTTAATGTTCCTCCCCTCTGTGAAACCTGAAATCAACTTAAGGACTAATGATAACTATCATAAGGCCTGTCATTTGATATAAATCAGTTATTCTCAAATTTTCTTTGAGGAATCGAAATAGATGTGTGGCAATATGGAACGAATTCGACTCGGGAGCTCCACGTTTTATTTCTAGCGTGCAGTGCCACGTTTACTGCCAAATCCCGGGACCATTTGCCCTCTCCCACCAATCACACTCCAACGATAAAATATGTGCCAACGTGCACATACGCGCTTGGGCACACAAAATTCACGGTTACCCTCAGCAACCTCACGCAGGAGGAAATTGCAGCCCACTCACTCCTCTTTTATCACCTTTCATTGCTTTCAAATTTGGGAAAAGCTTAATGGGATTACATCTTTCATTCTTAAAACAGTTTGGTTATGGTGAATTGGTCGCTTCTTAGTGCTTATTTTAAATTTTTACCCGCATACATACAGCATACAAGATAGCAAAACCCTAAGGAAGATGAGTTTGACTTCTCAACCTTTGGGATGAAAAGTAAGTTGAAGTAGTAAGATCAACTATTATGATTAAACAGTTGGCAGCCACGGAAAAAGACCTTAGTTCATGAACCACCCAATTAGTCAATGCTAATCAATCAACTGAAACTGCTCTCTTCTACACAATTGACTTACCTTTTACCATCTTTGCAATCTATTGCTAATTAATAGCAGTTACTATCTCACAATGAACAAGAACAAAACTTTACCACCATCGAGAAAATGAATGATATTCTTCTTATTCCATTCTAATGCATTTCGAACTTACTTAAATAACTAACTAGATATTAATGACAACATTTCATGATGGCAGTGGTGCCTTAATTTTATTATACTTCGACGTCATTTAAGGAAAAAAAACCATTTCTAATAGAGGTAAGATATAAAATTATCTTCACTAGGCAGTGAGTCATAGCAAACTTCAAACTCAATAGGAAGCTATATCTTCCGTTTTTTAAACTCTGTTATATATTTACTGTATGAATACATTTAGACACAAGAACCTGTAAAAATGAAAACCAAATAAAAACGGGGAAGGACAAGTGTAGAACTCGAGAATGAAGTCGGGGGTTCAAAAAAGTAGGATTCATGTTACATTCTTTTTGGTGAATGATTGTAGTTCACTGCTTTCCAGTCTAATTTTCAGGAGTACATTTGTCTCCTAGATTGCTGGGTGTAGCCATGTCCTGAAAGAGCTTATTGAACAGTTAGCTAATCTAAACGATTAGACATGACATTTCAGTGTTTTTTTACGATGATGCTTATGATGAACAGACTGTGATTTTTCAATTTAATTAGAACTACTTAGTTATGTTATTGGTAAAAAAATAAGGTTTTAGCTTTTATTTAATTGAACTTAATATACATTTTATTCAATTATCTCAACTTCTACCATTTTTGCTGATTCTTTACTTATTTTTTTCTCCGTTTCATTTGCAGACAATCATTTTTAATATTAATACTTAATTTTGAAGTTAGAGTAGATGACTCGCATTGAATAAACTATAAATGTAATGAGAACGCTTCTTTTAATGTTATATCCATATAACCTATGTTCCTGAGGCTAGCCGAGATGGACTTGGACAATTATTGACATTTTTCAACTTATTTCAATTACTATTAATCAAATATAAGAAAATAGAAACATTTAGCTTATACCACAATACATTGGGGAAAATGGTGCAAGATAAAAGGTAATGACTATACTTAAGATGGGTAATTGTAACAAGGCAATGAATGCACAATTGCTTTTGTAAATTATTGCTACTCCTTTAGGTAAGTAGTATACCTTATCATAACTCTAGCATTACTTCTGGTAAGATATAATTTATTTTGCCATTAATTCTTTATCCTATCAGAAAGTAGGCTTAACTCAAACATTTATAAATAGGCAATTTAGCAGTTTCGGTTCAACTGAGCCTTGAAATAGCGGTGGTTAGTCAATAACTCTTATGTTTTACCTTTACTAAAATTCGGACTTACGGAGTTAACAGTGAATGCTTATACATGCCCTTCTAAAGAGCTGACTCTAAATGGCATCACGTCTCTCTTTTTTTTGCCTTAATATTTTGGGTCAGCTTTAATTACACCTACAATATTACCACGGTTGCCAAACTGCAATATTTCAGTGCCAGTTTGGTGCAGATCACTGGCGGATTAAAATTATATGAGAAATTAATTTTTTTCTAATTCTTTGAGTGTAAAAAAGATGGTACTTAACGAACAATACTTACGTAATGATGAAAGCCACCAAGCACTTTCCTACTGAGAAAAGAGTTGTTGCTGTCGCTTCTCGCGTGAAGCAGATAGGCGACTAATAACAGCCTTCTTGAGCAGACCGTAGCAGCGTTTCTCTAGCTGCTTGAAGATATTTGCAATCTGTGATGCGATGCTGACTGGAAGTGCGGCGATAGCATTCTGAAACAGCGTTTCTCATTCGGTATCCTGGATCGAAGGTGGGATAACTGGGAGGGACACCCAATACGTTCTAATCGAGATCTATTTTCAAAGATATTTTGAGGGAATAGGAGCAGGCAATAAGAACATCTAATGAGTCGTACGATCTGATGAAACTCCGCGGTGCCAGAGAGAGGTTGCATCTCAATTGAGCAGATGAAATCCTAACTGAAATTAACATTAGTCAGCTCATGGTAATAGTGCAACTGTAGGCAACTGTGAGAAAGAAATAAAAGTCCAATTTGGGTGGAACGGGAAGTTGAGAGGAGGGTTTCAGACAAGCTGGAAATAAGGGAATGTTAACAAAGGGCCCACTATCATTTAATTTCATGATTGAACTGCACTCAGTCAACATAATGCGCAATTTAAGGAAGATAGGAAATGTTCACAAAGTACTAATTTATCTGATATAAATGAAGCTCCTTTTTTAAAATATCTATGACAATTTATGTAAATTCAACGCTGGATAGAAAACGGTGTCTAGCATTACACTTTTTATTGCATTATATAATAAGTGTTTGACATCAAACATTTAGATAGATTATGAACTTGTCATATATCTGCTCTATTAAATGAGTTTGATGACATAAATAAGTTGAGTTTATATTTTATAAAGCATAAAGATTGGTGAAAATCTTTATAAGCATCAGAAATATCTTTCTTCCCAAAATAGAATGTGTTTTTTAAACTGCAATTCATTTCATCTGCTGTCGTTAAAGTCTAATCTTGGCTGCCAAAATTAATTATTTGCAAAGACCTTAAATTTTTTCTTAATTTTTCAACCTTATCCAGTTTTGCCACATTTATAACAGCTCAGTGTGACATAGGATATCATGGTAAAATATAACCTGCAAAAGCTTCACCAATTAAAAGTAAGTATAAAATAACTCCTACTCCTCAGAAATTCTTAGAGTAACTAGGACATATAAAGCGCTGCCCATATGAATGAGAAAAGAAAAAAAATATATTTTAACACCTCAAATATGCCAATAGCGTATACTCCATGTGAAAAACAAATCTTAAATAAATTCAATACTAAAGAAAATTTTAAAGTAGTGTCTGCTACATACAAAGAGTGAAAATATCGCACCAGTTAAAGTTTGTAGAACCATAAATATAGAAATCATAAAACATCTACATCAAAAATAATTTAAAGAATAACTTACAGTTAGATTAATTAATTTGCGTCAAATAGCACTTATGGTTATTTTTTCTGATACAAAATAAATTAGCAATCAACAAAACCACCATTTATTAGTCTGAATAATCTTTCAGTAATTAGCAAACATATATATAAGTATAAACAAATAATCACATATAATCCATTAAATGTCCATAACAAACAATTATAGAACTTCATAATAACCAATAATATTAATACCAACTATTAAATCTGCAATTAAATCCATTGTGGGACACGTTATCGCTGTGTGCTTCATCGCATGCCTGCATGTCAGGATTGGGAGATGCGGCCATACAACTCTGTGTGCAGCGACCGTACAAACAGTGACCAATCATCAACCTCTGTTTAACCTAATCCCCCACTCTGATCATGAGTAGCTCCCTGTGTATACACACTTGATCCGCAATATACTCACTTAATAAACGTGCTCCGTGCTACACGTCTGTTTCCTTTATAGCTGGGCTATGACTTAGCTGGTTCTGGGAGTCTAGCTAGATGTTGGAGATTCTGCCATAGAGATTTCTGAGTCAGTCAGGTTTTACTAGCGTAGCAATCCGCTACACCATTACGTCTAATTATATAAGTCTAAATGCTTACCAGCAATACAAAAAACAACCATCATGAATGGTTGAATCATAGGTTCTAGCCATTATTCATTCAAACTCAGATAATCGTAAAAGTACATATGAAGATTCTAATATTATATTTAAAATTAAAGTTGTCCAACTACACTTCCAACGTATTAAATGATGATATGAAGTTGTAACTAAGCTTGACCCTAATGATATAAAACATCCCAGAGATGGTAATTCTAAGGGACTAGGTAAATTACCACAAAAGACAATATCAAAGTATAAATAAGAAAGTATTAAACCACCAAAAATAACAACTTTTCTAGGCGGAAATAGTCGAACCCAGAAACATGACTAAGTCTAAAAATGCTCGTCTAAGATGAGTACAATATATGTATGTATGTATACAAAATCTATCACAAAAAATAGGATACAATGTGCACAAAACTTTTAAAGAACTAAAAATCCAAGATACAGATGTCCAAATGTATACAAAACACAAGAAACGTTCACCCAGCTCCAGCACCTAACCACATTCTAATGATCAAAAATACTATAGAAGGAATCACTATTTAAGCTCTTA